TAAAGGGAAAAGAGAAAGCATGACTCAATGTCATTTTATATTTTCTTGTTTTGGGGATGTACTTTGAACTTTTGTATGTATATGTTGGTGGTTTGTAATCACATTTGACAGTTGGTTATTATGTCTTGTTTTGGGGATGTACATGTGGTTATAATGCCTTGCTTTATTATGTCTTGTCTTGCTTTATTATGTCTTGTCTTGCTTTATTTCAATGGCATTATATTCAATCAAATTTGCTTGTGTAGTTGCATGTTTTAGGGTAACATCATGATTGTGATTTAGCTATTGTCCATTGCAAAAAAAGTCAATTACATTTGATTACTGCCAAGCTTGGACATGACCAAAATGTTCTTACAACTAAGCAGAATATGCCATGCCCCCAACAAACAAACAAAATATGACACCCCATACACCTTACAGCAAGGATCTCAAAATAAGAACCAACTGAACATAACCAATACAAACCCAACCCCCAAAGCTAGTACAGAAGTACAGATTAATTTCCTAATTTCAGGATGGACAGAGGCTGAAACTGAGGCATCCATCTTTCTCTTCACATCATCAACAGCTCTTGACACGGTATTTTGTATAATTTCCTCCAATTCAACTCCATTTCTTTGGCCATATTCTTACAGGTTAGCACTTGATGTGGCATGGCTTGACTCAACCAATACAGGTGACTCATCTAACACAGGTACAGTTCCACCCAACTTTCTTTGTTTTAATTGCCTTTTCAAAGCTGCAATTTCGTTACTCATACACTTTTTCTCGTTAATCAACAATTTTAAAAGCTCAGTAGCTCTCTCAATTGTTAGTTCAAAGTCATGCCAAACAAAGTATGCACACCTCAAATCCTACATGAAAAATATTTCCAAGTGTAAATATTTATTACAAAATAAAACAAAATTACATACCCATAATGAATAAATTATGCGTACAGCATTCAAGAAGTTTGGGCACCCATAAAAGCGTCTACCAATGCTCCATGGTCTCCATGAAGTCCACCTCGGTGCCTTTAATCCACACTCGCAGAACATCTGACGCCCTTCGTATGTGTGCTCAATCAACCCAAAATCCCTCACCCCAGAAGAAGCTTCAAGTCCTGATGATCGAGAATTAGAGGAAGATGCCATAGAATTAGCTTTTCCTAACCTAGATTTAGAGGATAAAGAGAAACCCTAACCCATGATTTTAGATTGCAAGAGAAGAGAAGAGGGAAGGAAAAGGGAAGACATAGAAATAAGTTAGGTTTTAGCCATTTAAGGGTTTTATGGAATTTTATAGGTGGGGCCCAGTTGACGTGTAATGAAAAGGGAAGAAAAATCACCACGTATGATTAAAATGGGCGGGAATGGGCCAGTTCAGCATCCACGCAGGCACAAAAACCTCCACCATGTTTAAAATGTCTGAGTAAGCACGCCATTAACGGGAAGATGACGGCAGCTGACGTGGCCCGTCAAATAATGAGTTATTTGTTCAAGTCGAAAAATTTGTGAGTGTATTTGTCCCCGTTTTTTGTTCGGGTGTGGATCCGTCCCTGCCCCTATAGTTGGGGGGTGGATTTGGGTATTTTGCCTTACTTTTTCCCCATCTGACACTTTCTTTTCTTTTTGAGTCCCCCTTTTTCTCTTCTTTATTTCCATTCTCCCCTACAAGTCTACAACCCATCCTAACAACTGTTAATTGGATCTAACCCACACCTAAATTTCAAAAAGGCAAGAAAGGAAAGTAAGAAAGAGAAAGCCGGAGAAGGAATTTTTGGCCTCGAATAAGTTTGTTGGATGGCCAGTGACTAGATCTGGAGTTGGAGAAGGAGAAGAAAGAGGTGGATATGGTCAGTGACCAAATCTGATGTTGGATTGAAGTTAGAGATAATTAAAACCTTTAAATATCCTGAGATTTATGCTGAAGAGGTTGGAAATCTTGGCAAAGTTGTAATTGAGAGAAGATCCATAAAAAGACGATGTTAGGAAAGGAAACCAAGACTGAAAATCATGTCGAAAATGAATGAAACCAATCTAAATTTGAATCGTGTATAATGAATGATGCTAATAAGATACAAAAACATCAGAGGAAAGCTAAGAATCACGGATCTAAAAA